TTTGAGGAATGTGACACCCACAGACTATAGTTCCTGGAGTTAGAAACCTATGATTTACTGCCTTGAGTGACATGAAACAGCATGCCCTTAAAAGCTTCTCGCTTTTTTTTTTTTTTTTTGGCAGCTGGCAGGTATGAGGATCCAAACCCTTGACCTTGGTGTTATCAGTACCATGCTCTACTGAGTAAGCTAACCGGCCAGCCCCAGAAGCTTCTCTTATTTATGTCATCACTCTCACAACATCTGGACAAAAAGGAAAAAGACCAGACCACCCTCTCTTCTTAGGCCTTATGGACACAAAGCACAGAGGCCTGGGCCCTTCTTCAGTGAAACTTAGGGATATGGAAGTTCTTGTACTGACCCTGATCTAGTGTCTATCAATGGAATTACCAAGTCATTTTCCCTCTTACTGTTTTAATTCTCTCATCTATAAAATGGTCCAGGGCTGGCTGGTTAGCTGAGTTGATTAGAGTTTGGCCCTCTAACACCAAGGTTAAGGGTTCGGATCCCCATACTGGCCAGTTTCAAAAAAAAAAAAAAAAAAGCAAAACCAAAAAAGCAACAACTATAAAATGGTCCTTACAGCACTAGCCTACCCAGAAGATAGCAAGGAACCAGACAGATCATCTTGATTTTGAGTTTCAAATAAAGCCATTTAGGCTGCCCCCAATCACCAGCCTACTGTTATTAGTTCAAACATCAAATCTACTTCCACAACATAAAGAAAATCCAGATACTGTATCTCTCCTCAACTTGGTAACATTTTGAATAATTTACAAATAACTACAGGCAACAAAGTAAGACAGATATAGAAAGAGAATACACAAATACTGAGATTACAAGGGGAAAGCGATAAAAATACAAATGTGGGAAGCACTTTCTGGTTTCAGAACAAAGGACACAGCGGCAAAAGATGGTACCCATGAATAAAATGTACAGTAAAACTACTGAAAGTAAAAAAAAAAAACAAACAACCAGGAAACTGCTGGAATATTTATATTTTACATGCAGGTTACTAATGTAGGCTACAAAAAGTAATCCTTTAAAAAGTTAAGAGTCTTTGGAAGCGAAAGGAAGGAAGGTTTAAACTAATTAAAAGCAAGTCGGCTAATGATGGGCAACATCAAGTATGTGCTGAGATGGAGTGTAGTCATAAAAGCTTGATGTACACATGCAATGTATTAAGTTGGAAACGTGTGTCTCTTCAGCTTCATATCTATTAAATGAACAAACAATTTACATGTTGCTGCATTATGGGAGTTTGATATGTGGAGTGTCAACCCTTTCTCTTCAAGTTGAATCATGTTAAGTCAAATCAGTAATGGGGTTTGGGTGGGGGGGGCAGAAAGGGGAAAAGCAGGTAGAAAGAAAGTTTTAAAAAAAATCTCTACCTCAGCAAAAGTTTTCATTAAAATTTTAGACAAATGATCCCTGTGTCCTTCTCACTTGCTGCCTGGGGCTCCATGCTATTTCTATGCAAATAACAACCTCGTGGTTTATATCTTATTATTTCCGCTGGAGCTGCAGCAACATGACCTGAGACGTGTAAGAGGTGGTGGGGAGGGCTGGGTGGGGGCGGGGAGGGAGTTGGAGAGGAGAAAGAGAGAGGGAGACAGGGAGAAGGGGAGAGAGAGATGGAGTAGGTGTTCACTGAAGTGTGAAAAAATATTGTCAGGAGTGAGCATGAAGAACAAAAAAAAATTGCAGGGATAACATGTTTATTTCAGTCCCCCACCCCCACTCCCCACCCCACCCCTTGCAAAGCGGCACCTTTTAAAATTCATTGGGCATCAGGCGATCATGCACAATCCATCTGCTTTCACTTTATCATTTGCATTTCATGCCTCCTGGCTTTTGATGTGCTGATACTTTGATGCAGTCAGGAGACGCACATTATCATTATTTCAATTTTCAAAGGGGTCAACGGGATCGGCACTTGCACACACAAGATTTTTTTTCCTATAACCTCTGTGCACCCCCCCTTCATATTCTTCACCCCAATGTTTAACATAAAGGATGAAGACTCAGAAAGATGAGGGTCAAATGATTTCAGTCTAAGACCATATATAAGCTTGCATATACCAACTATATTTACATTTCCTCTTTACACAGGTACACACACATTACGAGCAAAATATTCAAGGCTTAAAAAAGGAAGCACTACAGTGTTTCAAACGCACAAACATCTTCTTACATATGGACCCTCAGGGAGGCACACAAAGAGAGGGATCTATAGGCAAGACACAGACAAAAAAAGATGGACAGATCAGAGATCAGTATTCACACAGAAGGAGACATGTACTCAGAGTGACTTGCACACACCCAGAGTACGTGAGACAGCGAGATACCTACAGAAAGAAAGGCAAACAGAGATGTAGAAAAACATCAGCACACACAAAGACAACACGCACAAGGAATGAGTCAGAAGAAGCAATCTGAGCATGGTAACTCCCATATAGTTTCCTTCTTTATACCTGATAAGCAAAGTGGCTGACAAGACATTCTCAACAAATTTGCACGAAATTGGGTTCCAGCAACATGACTCTATACTTAGGAGGTACTGACATGAAGATAGTGAAGCAGGCAGATCAGGATTAGGTAACCTCTATAACTGATCTCTCCCTTCAGCTAAAAATGATCATGTCCTTTTGGAAATGAGCATTGTCTGGTAAGTTACAGCAATGGCTTTATTTGCCTTCCCCCCTGCAACTAGCCTTTTCCTTTAACAAGCAGCCCTACAGGCTAGGAGGAAGGTAAATATAACGAATTTGATCAGAACAATTCAATCAGATTTTAAGAAAAAAATCCCTAATGCTTAATTTTTTTTTTTTTTTGTCTTTTTCGTGACCGGTAAGGGGATCGCAACCCTTGGTGTGGTGTCACCCACACCGCGCTCAGCCAGTGAGCGCACCGGCCATTCCTATATTGGATCCGAACCCACAGCAGGAGCGTTGTTGCGCTCCCAGTGCCGCACTCTCCCGAGTGCGCCACGGGGCCGGCCCCCCTAATGCTTTCTTCATGGCACAAATGAGATTCAACTAGCAAGTTTTCAGGCAAAAACAAACAAACAAACAAAAATGAAAAAAGCCCAACAACCTTTGCTTTTTGTAATATTCTTTGCACATAACATAGTATCTGTCAGGGGGGTGGGGGCGAGGAGAAACTCAGGGTAACAAGACACATTTCAGAAATTATGTCTGTGTTATGGGAACATCATGGAAATATACGAGGGTATTTCAATAAGCTCATGAAAAGATTTATATTATTGTTTAATTCTATTTTTCTACAAACTTTTTGAAGTACCCTCATAGGTATCTTTTAAAAATTCTATCTTCATAGACAATGGTACCTAAAATTCTCTTCAACATTCATCAATATCTGATCCTAAGAAGGTACCCAAAAGAGCAACTTAAAAAAAAATTGAAGATTCTCAGCAGTTTCTCCCATCGCAATAATCTTTTCCAATAGTGGCAGTTCATAATCTTTATTTCTAGGTTACTCTCCAAAAAGGGATGAGGACAGCCAAGTTTGCCATTGTTAGCCCTACTCTGCCTCTCCTTGATAAGAAAAGCAAACCCAGAGAAGGATAAAGAGTTCATATGAATGCAGAAAGCAAGCTGATCACATCAAATGACTCCTCTAATTTCTGACATCCCCAAAAGCTAATTGGACTGACGGAATTTTCAACTTTTTCTAAATGGCAATGATAGGATAGGACACTGAGTTCCTATCCCTCCCCTTGAAAATCAAGGCTTGATAAAAATTTCCTGCAAGTCTAGTAAACACAATCTCTAATAGAATTTAGTACATGTACAACTTCTCAAGCTCAGTCACTAAACTATGTAAGAGAGAGGAAAGGGGAACTGAAATTTTAATGAGGGCCAACACTTAGCGCCAAGTACTAAGGTACTTTTACTTATGTTTTCTCATTTAATCGCCACAATGTTATTTAAAGGTATAAATTATTATCCCCCTTTGATAGATAAGAAAGCCGAGGAGCTGAGGTCATATAAGTTGCACGAGGGCAGCCAGCCCGACTGTTCCATTACAAATTTCTGACTCTATAGAGAAGATTATTTTCCTATGCCTGTAAAAACATCAGATTGCATTATCCTTTATATATTCAGGTATTCTTAGATAGTTTTCACTCTAATAAGTAGTGACTTTTTCATCCATTTTTCCTCTCTTTGGAAAAGTCCCTATGAGCTTGGATTACAATGGCACAAGCCTTTCTCTTTTCTTTTTTTGGTGGCTGGCTGGTTCTGAGATCTGAACCTGTGAACTTGGCATTATAAGGCTGTGCTCTAACCAACTTAGCCAACCAGCCAGCCAGGTATAAGCCTTTCTATGGAAGGAAACATAAATTTCTACATCATACTCTTTCCTAGCGATCCATTCATGCATCCATTCACCCATGTTCCCACTCAATATTTACCAAGTAATTCATCTTTTACAACAGACCACAAAAAGTGCCCTTTTTGAGAGGTGTATCATGGATTTCTCAAAACGTTCAAACTTGATGTCCTCAACACATAGGCCAGTGCCTAATCCATGATGTAGATCCAAAATGGGAACTAGTATAACTGGAATGAGAGACAGCTCCATGGGTGAGAATAAATCTCCTCATATCCCCTACTCAGATCAGAATAAGGGAGGTGGGTAGGGCAGAACAGAAGGATTCAATTAATTCTTAGTCTCTTCAGAAAGATACTAAAATATAAGCTCTTTGGAGCAGGTGTTTTATATGGTTTGTTTACTAACATACACACAGGGCTTGGAATAGTGCCTGGCACATAGCAGGTACTCAAAATCTTTGTTAAATGAAATGAATGAATGAAAAGGCAAGTAAGTCAATGGCCAGGAAGATGGAGAAAGAGGGGAAGACATAGACTGAGGAAGGCATGGATTGAATGGCTTCCCTCCAATTAGGATCTTAAATTAAGAATTCACAATAATCTTCATACAGCTTCACACACTTCTCCCAAAACCCGGAAACTTACTTTGTTGAGGGCCCCAGCTCCTGTCAGAATTAAGTGAGAATTCTCAACCTGGATGGTTCTCTGTCCCAGACGAACAACGTAAGCCCCAATCCCAATGGCCCGGCATGTCACCTTAAAAAAGAATAAATTCTACATGTCATGTAAACATGTCCTCTCCCAAGCTGTAAGAAATAAGGCATAGATATGTAAAACACACATTAAGAGAAATAAATACTGCTTTTTTTTTTTTAAGGGCTAGTTGGTTTGGCAGGTGAGTTGTATACTTCCTTTTTGAAGTTTGATTAATAATAATACAAAAAACCAATTTCCTGGTCAAAGGAAAGAAAAGACAAAATTTGTTTAATAATAACACTTAACTGATCATAGGCCCTTTACTTCTACACTTTTGCCCATTTTACAGATGGCTGGTATCCCCACTAAAGGTGTGAGCAAGGAAAGTAATAAGAAGAGAAGAAATTCTAGCTGTTAAAAAGTGTGGTAGGATATTTTGAGAAATAAGAAGTTAAATTAAAAGATAAAATGAGGTGCTAAGTTTATTTGGGAAATTCAGTTATTTACATTATCCTCTTCCCATTATCATACATGATTAAAATAAAGTCATTGATATACGATTTTAGGAAATGCCCTCATTCAGGACTGAATAGCAGTGATGGGGGCAAAAATAAACCTAGCCACACAGTCAGCTCTTCAAAACTTTCATTTTGGGAAGATTTACCAGGCTGATAGTGATGATCTCATCATAGGCCAAAGAGGATTCTCCAGCAATCATTCCAGAACCTCGAAGGTTCTCTGTTCCAAGTCCCTCTTCTTTCCCAATAATATCTGTTATCTTGTACCTATTAGATATAGCCAGGCCAAATAATAAAATTGAGCACAGTAACAACAATCTATTAAAAGAAAAACCACCATTAAAATGCTGTTAAAAGCATACTTCTTTCCCAATAATATCTGTTATCTTGTACCTATTAGATATAGCCAGGCCAAATAATAAAGTTGAGCACAGTAACAACAATCTATTAAAAGAAAAACCACCATTAAAATGCTGTTAAAAGCATATTGAAAGTCTAACATCAGGGCTTTATACTCTTCCTTTTATACTCTTCATTCTTGTGTCTTTCCTTCTTATCTTGGTGCCTATTTTACCTAAAAGAAATTTGCTATAATATAAAGAGCAAAATCTGGAATTAAGCAGAAAAATTTAAATCCATATAGCAGTGTGACTGTGGATAATAGTAGCTTCTGTAAAATGGGGAGAATACTGTCTACCTCTCAGGGTGGATATGAGAGATAAAGCAACAGGACAGGACTTCACACACAGATGGCCCTCAGATTTTTAGATACCCCTTCTTACTTTCTAGAACAAGTTTCTTAAAAGCAGGGTCAATGTATATCTCTATAATAAGCAACAGCCATTAAATTGACAATTTTAGACAATTTTATATAGGAATAAAAAAATCCAAACACAGGGGTAGTGGGAACGTTCATCCCAGTTTCCCAAGTAAAAAATCCCCTCCTTTTCCAAGACAAGGATGAAAGGGAATTTCAAAACAGTGTACTCCCATTCCTGCTTCCTCATAAATATCAAGTGTATACATGAGGGTTCCTGGCTATAGTCCTCTGGAGGGGCAGGTGGAATGTATGTAGAAGTAAAATGCTGACGAAGTTATCCAGAAAGCACCCTGTGGATCTAGTGGGAGTCACTCATCTGTCTTCCAGGCAGGGGATTAGGAGAGATAGCTGATAATGGGAAATGGGAGATGGGGAATGCAACTAATAAAAGAAAGGGAAAATACAAAGTCGGAAGTAGAGATGGGCAAATATTATTTATTGTTCCATGTGTACCCAGAAGGCTTGGCACTGGGCACAGTTTTATAAATTGAAATAATAAATAAGTATCCCATCGTGGCTCCTAAACTACTTTCCCCACCCCCATATTTCTCAGCTCCCTTCTTTATTTCCAGCCCTTCATCAATTCCTTTTCTTTGCCCTTGCTGTAGGGCTGTGACTTTGCATCTCTGCTCTCCAGGTTCCCCTGCCTTTCTATTTTTAGCCTCTACCAATATCCAATAATTCCCCAACTCTTCCTTTTGTTCTGTATCTAGACCCTTATTCTAGTTAAGTGATAAATGAAGCTAATCTCCCATTAGTGGTTAATGAACCACACTAACTTGGAGGAGAGGGGGTAATGTGTTTGTTTTATAAGGTCCACATGCCATATAGTCACAAGTCCACCTCCCCTGTAAGGCAGATCTCTCCCTCCTAAGGGCTGCACATTGCTTCACAGGTGTTTGTAATTTAAGTGGCATCTTCTACCACTGTATTACATGAAAAAAAATTAAAACTTCCCATTTTCTGCTCTGTGACCTGAGTCAATGACAGTCATCTGGGACTATCATTCTTTAGAGTAGTACTAAATTTTTATGTTCTAATAAAAAACGTTTGTATAGTGTATTACAATCAACAAAACACATTTATATATATCATTTTTGATCCTCAGAACAATCCAATGTGATAGGTAATATCTCCATTATTACAGATAATAACAATAATAATAATAGAGAATTTCTGATTGCTTACTATGTGCTTAGCACTGTGCTAAGGGCCTTAGTTCACTTGATCTTCATCTTTCAGATGAGGAACCTCAGAGAAAAAAAATGACTTGCTTTGTAACAACGGTAATATACAAAATCAATAGCTTTCATAGGCACCAGTAATAAAGAATTAAAAAATATAATGGGGAAAAAATCCCATTCAGAGTAGCAAGAAAAAAATACAAAGTATTTAGAAATAAACATAAAGAAATTTGGCAAAATCCCACCATACCCACACTGTATACCAAGGCATCCTGGGGCACCACAGTGAACTCCTGGGGGCACTGCAGGACATTTTAAATTTTTGAGAGGAACATTATGATAAGTAATATCTGTTGGATCCCATGTGAACTACTAATTAGGCATTTCACAGTTTAGTATTAGATAGTGCTACATTCATTTTGACAATGTCCCATCTTTGCAAAGTCAGGTTTCTCTAGTTTTTGAAAAAGAGCAACTTCTACACAAAAAAATCAATGACAAGAAGCAAGGGTGACTATACCCAAGCTGATTCCAAGTTTTGAGATGTTATGCAGACACAAATATACCATTTGTAAGTAAATATAATTATTTAAGAATGAAATTATTTTTTACTTATGTGTATTACTTTTTCAAATGATTATTAAGTTGTTAGGATATAAATGCTTATGAAGTTGTTTGGGCTTAACTACTTAAACACAAATATTAGGTATTAGGGATGCTGTGAAAAAATTACTGAGACACTAAAAGGTGCCATGAACCAAGAAAGTTTGGGAACCTTTGGCATAATTTATATGAAGAAAACTACAAAACATTAAAAAAAAATACACTTGAATAAATGGAAAAACACACCATGTTTCTTTCTGGGAAGAGCCTCAAGTTTATGAAGATCCTCAAAATTCGAATCAAAATCATTGTGGAAAATTTTTGGGGAATTAAAAAAAATAGAGGCTACCTATAAAAAGGCAAAAATAGCCAATAAAACCTAAGGAAAAGTTAAGAATGTGAGGAAATATGCCCCACTAGAATAGTTAAAATAGAGTGGCATTAGCCCAAGAATAGGCAAAACAACAACAACAAAAACAAAGTATGAATTATTCAGTAAATAGCAATGGAGCAATTAACATTCTGGAAAACACTTGCAGATAGATTATAAAAATGTTCAACTTCACTGATAATCAAAAATACGAGTTAAAATAACAATTGCTGTTTTTATCCTATTGTATTAATTGACAATAATCAATGTTGGCAAGGGTAGGAAAAAATTAAAGGGGGGAAACAAGCACTATCACATACTGCTGATGGGAATGCAGATCTTGGGAGAGCAATTTGAAATTATTTTTTAAAACCCTTAAAAATTGACTTTTTTGACCAGAAATTCCACTTCTAGAAATTAACCCAAAGGGAATAATCAGAGATAGTCCTAAAAGTTTATAAAAAGAATGTTCAGCTCTGGGATAAAATAGTGAAAAATTGGAAATAGTCTGAATGTTCAAATATGATATATTCATTATGATGAAATACTTATACTACACAACCATTAAACATCATATTCTCAAATAATATTTTAAGAATATAAGAAATTCTCCGAAAATAGTTTTTAGTGAAAAGAACAAATTATAAAAGAAACTCTTATCTCTTATAATCCCAATCATGCAGAACAAAAAGGAATGAATGTAGAAAAGACAGCAAGAACATAAAATAAATTCATAATTGTGGCCTCCGGGTAGGACTGTGGCTGATTTTTTTTCTTCATAAATGTTTACATGTTTTAATTTTCCTAAAATCAACAAGCATTATAAACATAATTTTAAAACTTCAATCAGTTACAAGGCCCTTCAGCTAATAAATGGTAGACCTAGAATACAAACCTAAGACATCTAGATACTGTAACAAGCAATCTTCAATGCTCTTCAAGGTTATGATCAGCAGGACAGTAAAGAAAACAATTACTATATTCTTTCTTTAGTTATGGCCAAATTATTCTGATACATATGTACCTACCTGGATTCTCCCTCATCCTCCACGTGTTCACAATGGACAGAGTTGAGAGCACTGACTCTCTTATAATCTTGAGGGGTCAGATATAAATACTTGTAACCCTGTGAAGCACAAGTAGTTTTTAATTCATTATTTGCCAGTGCCATATAACCAGAAGACATAGCAAAGCACGAGTAATGAAGCTTGTTCCAAACCTAGCTTTAAATTGCTACATCACTTCTTAGAGTTACTATCAACAGAATACTAGTTCTCATTGACAGTTCTCCTTTGAAAGATGGAAGTGCCTATTTTTTCAGTCACTGATTGTCCTTGAAACAAGATACCTTGTAGCTGCACCTCCAAGTGTGTTCCATTCATTTTATTTTCAACAGGGTTAAAGGGTCATTTTCCGATCTTTAGTGACATCTCTATTAAAGATATCAACATGCAATTAAAAAACTGTGTGAATTACTATTCTTGACTTTCTCAAATCTGTAATATCATCAAAATATATATGGGTAAGGGGCAACTGAGAGGATCACAAATCTAGAAAATTCAGTATTAAAATAAGAAGTCTGTGCAGTGTTAATAGTGAACACTGAACACATGCCTTTTGCTTTTTTCAACAAACAACTCCTAATTCCTATTTACATTTTAAAAATTATACTAATATTTTGCAATTGATTTATTTGTATACATAGATGTACACCCTTACATGCAAAGGAGAGTTACATGGTACATGTGTTTAACATAAGTGAATTAGTCACTCAAAAAAAAAAGTACCCAGAGAAAAACATTTTAAATACTATGAGAAATTATGCCCACCATTTAACTCAATGAATTTATGCTCCACAGTGAGTACAACATGGAAGAGACATGAATTTGTCATTGGTCTTACATGAGTTGTGACAAGAATGCTTTGTAGCACTGAGTGTCATTAGTATGTCAGTTAGCACGCACTTATTGTCTATTATGTGCAAGGTACTGTTCTAGGCACTGGAAAAACAGTATTGAACAAAACAGACAAAAATTCCTGGCCTTATGGGACTCATCTCCTAGTGGGAGAGGCAGAAAATACACAAAATAAATAAGTAAAACATATAATGTTAATGGGAATGATGTTTAAGAAAAAAATAAAATAGAGAAGGGAGACAGGACAGCTATTCTTTGAGGAAGAACAGCCAGGGAAGTCCTCATTGAAATATGTCATTTGAGTAAAGACCTGAAGGAGCTGAGGAAATGAGGATATCTGGGGGGAAAGTATTCTAAGTAAAAGGAACAGCAAATACAAATGCACTGAGACATGAGGGTGTCTAGCAGGTTTAACAAAGAACAAAGAGGCTGCTAGAACCAGAGTATCTGGGGGGAAAGTATTCTAAGTAAAAGGAACAGCAAATACAAATGCACTGAGACATGAGGATGTCTAGCAGGTTTAACAAAGAACAAAGAGGCTGCTAGAACCAGAGTGTGGAATGAGGGAGGGCTACATCAAGAAATGAGGGCAGAGTTGTATCAAAAGGCCAATCTATGTAAGGCCTTGTAGGTAACTATACAGTCTTTGGCTTTTACTTGAATGAGTTGGGAAGCAATTTTAATCAGAGGAAAGTTATGAGCTATGATCTGATTTATATCTATTTTATTTTTATTTTTTGGGCAGCTGGCTGGCACAGGGATCTGAACACTTGACCTTGGTATTACAACTGATTTATATTTTCACAGGATCATTCCACTTTCTGTTGAAAACAGACTTTGAGTGGGAGCTGGGGCAAGAGCAGAAGCAGGAAGGCCAATTAGGAGATTGCTGCAATATACAGGTAAGAGATGGTAGTGAGATGGATGACTGTGTAGCAGTGGAAGTGGTGAGAAGTGGTCAGATTCTGAATATATTTTGAAGGTGGGGTGTGTAAACATGATTTACTGACCGAGTAGATGTGGGTGTGTAAGAAAGAGAGAAGTCAAGGATAACTCCAAGGTTTTTTACCTAAACGAATGGAATACAGCCATAGTGGAATAGTTTAAAGATACGTATTTTTGGGTTAGCATGTCTCATGCTAAATGCATACCTACTATTTATTTCATCTAGTGTTCAACCAAGGAAACAATGTTCTCTTTTAAAGGTGGAGGAAAAAGCAAGTGATCATACTGAGAAAAAATTTGTCTCTAAAATAGTGTCTTAAAGAATTTTCATAAGTAACTTTGTTTATATTTAATTTTCATGATAAGTGCTGACTTTTGAACTTAAACATCTACCTCTCCCCCACCTCTCTAAACATGTACACACACACATGCATAATAGTATCTTGAAGTATTCTCTTTTCTTGGTCTGTACCTTGTAAGGATCCTCAGGATCCACCCAGGCCACATGAAACATATGACGAATTTCTTCTGCCAGTCCAATTCTTGCTCCACTGTTGGCTGCTACAAAGATGCGTGGGATACCCTCTGCCCTGGCAAGTTCAGAAGCTCTGAGAAACAATAAATCCTCCTGGGGCCCAAAGGACCCAATTCGGTATGTGATATCATTGCCAATAACAATGATATCTCGGCCTTCTGGATATTCGGGACTTTTAAGGGTCATTTTCCAAGCTACCATGCCAATCTGCAAAGGTATAAATAGACAAAAGAATGAATACAAGCTTCTTATATGCAGAATTTTTTCAGGTTCCTTGATGGCATCAGACTGTACCTAGACCAGGCTTTACATTGCTAAAGAGCCAAGCTCCCTGTGGGAAATTAGAAAAACCTTCTAGTACACTGCCCTAGATTATGCTAAGAACAGCTGGTTTACTATGTGTTCCAAAGTTGTCTCAATTCCTTCTCTGAGCCTGCTTAAAGATGGAAAAACCAAAGTCTAAATGCACTCCAGATACATGCTGAAGAATGTCATCGCACTAGTGATTAAATCCAGAATTCTCATTTTACTATCCTATATACTAAGACACTATTTCCATCTTTTGTGAGATTCCTTCTAAGAAACCTTCAACATATAAGGGAGCAGAAAGAGGATCACCTCTCATGGACTGTACAACTTTTGTAAACTGGATTTTTTTTTTTTTACTGTCTTCTAGCATTTGATAGGAATAAGAGAAACATTCTTTACTGGTTTGCTTCAGGTATCTTGCATTTATGCAAGATTTTACTATCACTCAACATTGTATCCTTGTGAACATCTCTTCCTGCTTTCTCCCAGCACCAGAAAACCAAAGGATGCAAGAAACTAATCTCTTTCTGTACCATGATATATGTAAATCTCTGCTCTCTGTTCAGCAGTATCTGTCCAGCCACACAAATAGAAGATATTGACTTAAAAGGCAGAGGTGACATGTCTCTTCCCAAACCCTCACAGCCTTCTCCTCTTTTAATCACTTTCTATATGAGAACTAGTCAATCCTACTTGTTTATTCCCTTGTTCCATTTCCTTTCTATTCACTCACATCCCAGCTACAGCTGCAGTTTTTCATGTCTGCCTGTCTGTTTCCCCTATACCTGGATAAGTAATGTTTTTCATTCTTTTATGTTTCCCCTTTCTGTCTCTCATCCCCCTTTTTGCCCTCACTGCTCGCCTCCAAATACAAAACCTACCCAGATGAGCATTTCTGGTCCTGCCTAATGGAGCTCAGCCGCATCTGCAGACTTGGTCCCTCATCCCTAGGCTGCTGCATATCACCTCATTGGGGAGCTGGCCATCAAGAAGGGCCATTAACAGATGTAAATAGCAGCATCCCTGGAAAGCCACATGCATCACCCAGACTCAACCGGGCCGGTGATCATAAGCTCTGAGTACACATTTCTCAATCCAATTGCACATCCACTGTAATCAGGCTGGTTGAAGCTCTCTACACAGCTATTTGTGATTCTCAGCATTAAGAAATATATAAATATATGAAACACCCACAGATAAATATAGCTATTTAATATATCACACCATTGGCCAAATACAAATCAAAGTGAATGTAATACACTGAAAAAAACCCAATCACCTTCTGAGATATCACTATTTGCTCATTAAAGACAGAGAAAGGAAGGAGAAACAGATCAGCCCAAAATAGCAGAGAAACACCAAATATCAGGATAATTTTAGTTGTGAGTTTTAAGAAGCTAGTTAATATAATGCTTGTGTGAGGAGAAATATTTTATTTGCCTTCTCATGTCCCCCTCTAGCCCAACATCTGTTTTGTTATCAGGAAAGAAAGCTATTTCCTGTCTACTTTCCTCTAAGTGTATTTGTAGTTAGGAAGATTGGGTTTTATACCGAATTTTATGATATATTAACTTTAGCCACCTAGACCAGAAGTAGCTTAGATACAAGCCCTGAAGAATCTACTTCTGCATTTGCATGCTAATGTCAACACTATGACTATGTGGCACCGGGCAGGCAAATAATACTCTTATCTTTTGTTATTACCTGGGGACTCTAACTGTGTCACTTGGGCAGTCAGTTCAGCAATTGGCCAGGTCATTATGCTTGCAATATTGACTTCTAATTAGGTGTCAACACAGCAGCACCAAGAACACACTACTCTTTATCAATGTCTTTCTAAACTGTGTTCCTCATCAACCGCCCCCTCCCACCTTAAAAAGTACCATTACAGAATGGAAAAGTGCTATCCCAGTGTTAGTACAGTGAGACTCCTTATTGGAAGAGATTCAGTTTTGAGTTAGAACAATGGATAAACATCTAAGAAAGTATCTGTTGATCAATTTACATTAAAATGTAAATTTCATTGCTTATCAAATGATGGGGCATGTAATGGTGAACATGGGCCTTGGAGTCAAACAAACTTAGATTCAAATCCAGCTTTTATCACTTATTAACTGTGTGACCTTGGGAAAATTATCATCTTTATTGAGCTTCAGTGTCCTCACAGGCAAAATTAAGACAATAATACCCATGGGTTTGATGAACTAACTACTGGAAGTAGAAATCTATTATATTAACTTCAATATACAAAGTTTGCCCTTTTATCTCCCCTCAACCTGTCCAAATCTCACCTGCTCCAAACTGTTAATTCAAATTCCATTTCCTCCGTAAAACATCCCCCAGCCTAAGGTGACCCCTCCCTTCTCTGATCTCCTACTAGGACCTTCATGTAGAGAATTCATTTGATATTTAGTCGTATACTACCTAGGACTGCTTTTACCTTACCATCTCAAACCATTATATCATCTCCTCTCGTGCCTCATAGGATCCATACACATCGTATGGGAATAATAAATACTTGCTGGTTCCACAGTCATTTTACTTTTTAAAATAATACTTGGAAAATAGTCAATATCAAGGGCTTACAACATTGTCCATGATTTATATCTAGGGGTCACAGAATAAGAGTCCTAAATATCATTAAGCTATTTTATTTTTTAAAAAAAACCCAACCAAACAAACAATAGCTACCATTAATTAAACATCTATCACATGTTGTACTGTACTAAAAGTGGATAAATACTAATGGTTAAGAGGTTAAGCTTGAGAGTCAAGCTGTCTTGGTTCAAATCTCAGCTTTAAACTTGCTATATAACCTTGGACAAATCACTCAGCTTCTTACAGCTTCACTTTTCCCTATTATAAAATGGGGATTTTTCTGGAGGGATTGTTGCAAAGAACACATTAAATTCATACAGAGCCTGGCATATAAAACCCTTCAAATAGCCCTTCAAAGGAAGCTGTTATTATTGCCATGAGGAAACTGAGGCACAGAGGAATTATATAACTTGTCCTTATAGCTAGCATAAATTGTTTAATTTTTAAAATAAGGTTCACACACAAAAACTGGCATTTCCTTTACTAGAAAAATTAAAGAAGTACGTTCCAGACTAGTGAGACCGCCTTTAGCTGAATACAAGATGGAAAAGGAACAGAATTATAGCACAAACATGAACATCATTGACCCCTTAAATACAATGTGGTATCCTGGAACAGAAAAAGGACATTAGTAGAATTGCTGGTGAAATCCAAAAAAATGTCCGTGGCTTATTTAATAGAATCATACTAATGTAAATTTCTTAGTGTTAATATGATTTTTTTTTCCTTTTTGTCTTTTTTTCGTGTCCGGCAACGGATCGCAACCCTCAGTGTCGTGCCCGTACCGGACCGGACCGGGACCGGCAACGGGATCGCAACCCTCGGTGTTGCTCCCACACCTTGCTCAGCCAGTCAGCGGGAACCGGTCTGTATGTGGGATCCGAACACTCGGCGGGAGCGCCACCGCGCTCCCAAGCAGCGCACTGTAGCAGTGCGCCACCGGGCCGGCCCGTGTTAATATGATTTTTAGGAATAATTATACCATGCTTAGGTAATATGTTAACATTAGGGAAAGCTGGGTGAAGGGTTAAAGTTAAAAAAATAAATGTCACGATAAAAAAACTTTGGAGGGAAGTAAATTGGATAGTGAAGTCATTGTTAGTGTTCTGTACAGCCTTATAAAATGATGGCTATGAAGACTATGAATAGCATTTTTAGGGACCCATGATATAATACTAAATTAGAAAAAGTAGGATACAAAATTGCATGCATACCAAGTAATTGTGAGAGGTAAAATAGTGTAGTGGTTAAGGGCACAGACTCAGGAGCCAGATTCTGAGACTCTGACAAAATAAGAGAATTGGTCCATTTTCTAGCCATATAACCTTAGGTAAATTACTAACCTCTTTGTGCCTCAGTTTCTTCAATAGTAAGATGAGAGTAGTAACAACCTTTTGTATACATTTGTTGTGAAGATTAATACATTTTAAGTCCTATAGTAGCTGGCACATAGCTGGGGGGAAAAATATAAAGAACCATAGCAAAATAAGGTAATAATTATTAGGATGATGGAACTGTATGGCTTTTCTCTCATTTTCCAAATTTCCTTTAATTTGTTTATATTGCACTGATAACTTTAAATTTTTATAAATTAAAAAACAGCAGAGAAAAGAAGATTATCAAGCACCTCTTCATTGGGTAATAGGTACATAGGAGTTTATGTTATTATCCCTACTTTAGTGTATGTTTGAGTATTTCCATAATGATTTTTTTTAAGAGGAGAGAAATCTCACCAGCCTAGTGGATTTCCCATATTTTAGAAGTGATTCTAGATATTAGTGATACTATAACAGATAGTATTTAATATAAAATTAGAGAGATACAAACATGAAAATTAAAAATCAAAACTTACCTTAAAGGGAGAAGAATATCAAGAACTATCCTAGTTTGTTGGGGTTATCATTTCATTTTTTAAAAAGAAATGCTCTGCAATAATGTGGTAGAATGTAAACATATGTATATATAGGTTTATGCAATATTAATAGCTCTACCTGAGAAGTAACTGCTTCAGTGTTCTTCTGGCATGATGGTTAAATACATATTTATACTATTAAAGTCAATATTTATACAATAGACAGGAACAGTGCCTATCAGCTAAATACATATTTAGGACTGTACCACATGTATTACAAACATGTACTAAAATCAAAAGCTTATATTTATACAGAGCCTTTCATCTTGAAGGGAGCTAAAGAGCTTTACAAACATATGTACATAAAAGGACGTTTGCACTGATAGGCATGCAAGGTATCAATTCGCCCACTCCCCTAGTTCTTCCAGCAGTCCTGGGTAGAAACACA